ACATGCCACATTGTATAGGTGGGATTTTCATTGGTAATTGTTTTAAAGTTAACCACCTTCATCTTCAAATGAAATACAGATACAGTCTAGCCTTGCATATAATCCTTTTCCTTGGCAGATGTCACAGAGCAGTAGAAAGCTATGCATACACCATTCATAGAGAAACTCCTTCAGCAAAGCACAGCCATTGCTGTGCTGGTGCTTTCCCAGGCTCCCAGCTCCTGCTGAGCTCCCCTGAGAGGGCAAAGGTCTTTCTGTGAGCATGCTGTGTACCTCCATTACTGCCGTAAGAAACGTGTGCCCCACTTGGAGCACTCTATTTTTAGCTTACTTCTGTAGCTATCATTAAACTTGGAGTTGGGAACAGCTCTATGAAAATGACAAAACAATCCATGCAGGTAGCCAGCTGTATGTCCTCAATTTTTAAATACTTTTGAAAGCATATTTTCAGGTATAGATAACCACTGCTGCTCTGGGTATATACATGCTGCCTCATACCGCTGCACATTGTTTTATAACATTCCAGGTAAACTACTTTCAAGTGTTTAATTTCATTCTCATCATCATTTTTAGGCAAATCTGTCATAGTTGTTCTCCATTTCATATAGCCAAACTGAAAGTCCATATAAAATAAATGCATTTTTCAAAGGAGATGCTTCATCTTAGCCTAAAATACTATGTTTTGCTGTTAACGGATAGAGAGTGGGTCTCCACCCCCTGCAACTTTGTCATTTGTCTGTACACAACTGTGTACATATGTACATGCATTTGTATGACTGCAAGAGAGAGATGCAGATGTGACCAGGGCAAAGCAGGGTGCATCTGCTATGTCCTCGGTTGCGCTGGTGGTCAGTATCTGAGGTCAGATGGGGCCGTTCCTTCTGCCTCCCCTTCACCTGCGCTGAGAAGACCACAGGTTCCTGTTTTTTGCGGAGGCTGTGCACAGCAGACCTTGTCTCACATGAATGGGTTGTGTGTTGTGTACCAATCCTGAATAATCACTGAAGTAAGGGCTGAGACCCATAAAACTGTACTGAGTAGGACCACAAAGATGTCTGGGCGAGAAGTAAGGCACCGAGTGTAGCAGACAGTGGTCTGCCTGCAGTTTTCACCAGTTTGGAGCTGGAAATTGCAGCTGCAAAGCGGTGTGGTTCTGCAGGCCTCTAGAGTACGTAGATCTTCAAGTGGTTTTTTTTTTTTTTTTCTGTGCCTTATTCTGCTTAGATGTGAGCATGAAGTTTTATTGTGCTTTGGGTAGACAAGAGTGAATGTGCCACAGTTAAAAATAGTATTTCCTAATGCAAAATGTGAAAACCAGTGCTGGAGATCTTTCCATTGGTTCCAACACTGTATCAGACTGAAAGAAAATGCAGACTGCTGAGGCTATTCCTCACCTCAGAGCAGACTGTTTTCTGCAACAAGATATCACTATACCTCTGGTGCACAGAGCAAAATGCAGCAGGGGACCCTGTGGAAAAGTTCTGGTGTTTTTTTTCCTCCTAGTTTTGGGAGATGGATTTGTGAAAGCAGGTCAGACAAAGCTCGGGGCTATGTGGCTTGTTGCAAGTATGAACTTTGATTTCCTTCCCTGTTACCAGTAAGTCTCAGGGGAAAATATTCTTTAGTAGAATGACTACAATTATTTAATTAACTGTTTGCTTAACTATAGCTTTGTGATTTTTCTGTGCCTATAAGTATCCCTCTTTCCTATACAGCATGTATTGGCACATCATCCTCTGTCCCTTCCTGGAAAGTATATTCAGGAGTCATGGCAATAGTCACAAAAGGTTTTTCAAAGTGAATTTCTATGCAGGTGTTGAGGTAGAGCTGCTTCAGCAGCTGTAGCAACTTGTTTTCGTACCAAATATTGTGTTCCCTCCTCATGCAGGCATACACACAGAGAACTGTACCCAAGTACTCTCAGACTGACTCTCTAGGTGCCATCTTTACCCTTCTCACAGTCTTCCATCCCCTTTTGGGTGTCCCTGCCTGGACCTTGGCTGCAGCACCAGCTATGCAGTGATGGTGGTGGCTGGAGGCAAGTCCTGGGTCCTGCTGGCTTACTACAGAGCCACGTGCCAATGATGCTGTAGCATCTGACAGGGCCTCTTGCTAAAGGTACTTGTTTCAGAATGAGCTGAGGGTATGCTTTGTCTCCCCTCAAAACCCCAGCTTGTTTCTCTCAGTTCAGTTTGGCAGGGAGGGAGGAAAATCCCAGCATGAATTGTTGTTTGGTTGCACCAGGAGAAAGCCCTCAAGCAGGAACATAAATACAGCGAGCAGTAGTACGGATCCGACTGCTGGTGGGACTTACTCATCCCCTGGCACTGTTTGGATTTAGCCATCTGGCTCTGGCCCTGCTTACCCCTGTCAGCTGAGGGTGACAGTGCCAAAGCCAGTAGCTTGTGAATGTCCCCTTGGAGCTTTGCCTGGCCAGCTGGCAGCATATATCATCAGCCAAGCCTCCTCTTCCTCCTCCTCCACAACCTTGGACATGTCAGTCAACACATATAGCCATGCCCTCCCACCCCCAGTGAGGAAAGTGGATTTTAGCCCAATCTAAGCCCCCCTAATAGAAATGAAGGGTTTCAGTCTTTCTTTCCTGCACTAGAGGATGAAAAAAATACCTTTTCCTCCTTTTTATTTTCTTTTTTTAAATTTTTTTCCCTTCCATGGTGGTCTCCACTAGGATGGGCACATCATGCCCATTAGAGGTCACACCTTAGCAATATGAAGCTAGCTCATTCTGGTGCTGGAATTTTATAACGGAGAGGAGAGAATAGGAAGACGAAGATCCTGCCAAGCAGGATCAGCCCCAACTGGAAAGAGGTTAGAAGCCGACTGAGGTTTGTCTACGTTAGGACATGAGACCTGTTCACTCAGATGTGCTTCTTTCTAACTTCTTCCAGTAATGTCATGCTCACATTTATCATCGAAGTGATACTGCCATTTTCCATTGCTGTCATCCTCTCATTCGTATGCCAACAAACCTCCCACCAGTTTCGGTGACAGAGACCTTTTAGGCTCAGCTCCTGTGGGGAAGGTGTGATGACCTACCCTTCAAAACAAGCCAGTCCCTGTCTGCCACTGGGACGCAGTAGCACTCCCGCCCCTCTGCCAGGGGGGTCTTTCTGAATGCTGTGTTTGTAAGCTACAGTCACATCTGTACTGCTTTTTCTTTAAGCCACCCCCTACACTCCTGATGTCTTTAACGTTGATGGGGAAGTAACATTTCCCCACACACAAATGGAGAATGGGTACCACAAAGTGTCATAAAAACTAAGTTGATTCATTAAGCGATAACTTTAGGCAAAACCATTTAAAAATTCATAAAGATGTATTTGTCCTCTTTTCTATCAGTGTATAACAACAGTGTATAACTTTATAAAAGGTTGTTGCCAATCTTAGGCTGCACTAGTTGCCTTTATACTGTGAAGCCTTTTACTTGCTGATGAACTTGATGAATGCGTTTGCAGTGCTTCAGTAACCCTCCCATAACAGCCCCTTCATCCAGTTCTTGCAATATAAACCTTCTGGATGAATCTGAATTATCACGTGCCACACAGCCCGAGTTGGCTCCACGGCATGCTACCCTAATTGTCATTTGTTAAAGAGTCTCAGGACTGCTAGGAAGGTATTTTGTGTGAAATGGATGGTGTTTATTACATCCTCCAAATAAACTTAACACTCAAGACTCCAAGCATAAATTACTAAGCAAAAATCAGAAGCAAAGGACAATGAGATGATCTTATACTGAGTTGAGAATAACCAAAATCAGAAGTTTCTTCAGCAGGTAGACTTTTGCCACCTTGTAATCTTTTACTTTTTCAGCCTGATGCATGGCATTGTTTAACCAGCAGGTATATAAAGAAAAGACAACCTGAAATAAGTGCAGGAATTCACCCAGTCGTTTTGGCTTAGATGAACTCCCAGTGACTTAGTGACCTCTCTTGCCCTTTGCGTACTATTAATCCAGAACCCATGTGCCTTTCTTCAGATGTTTCTGCTAAGACTTTTACATAGTGTTGATGTTATGAAGAACTCTTCGGTGCTGTCGCATCGGTGTTCAGACCTTTGGGTCAAGCGGACCTTGCTACCCTATTTCTTCAGGTTACCATTCCTGTGTGTTTGCTATGGTCATGTTGCATTAGAGAGTGTGTTTGTGTGCCAGTGCTAAATCCATGGCTCCAGAGTGTCTTTACATGATAACAATCTCCTCATGTTGGAGTCCACACCACAGTATCATGATGTCCATGTGACCTGAAGTGTGTTAGGATCTGCTTACAGACAGGCATGCGATGCTGTACTCTGTCCAGGCTTTTTTTTCCCTTAAGAATCACAACAGTTTAAAATGATGCTGAGGAAAACTGTTCAGCCATATGTGTTTTTAAAAGGAGAAGCAATGCAGGACCAGTGTAAAGCATACAGTGGAAAGGAGACCAAATTCAATATGATCTTTAATCCTGCCTGTACTCTGGTTGAAGCCGAGCAACTTCTTTGGAACTGTAAAGGGATTTGAGCATGTGTTCATCTATTAATTTTTTTTTTTTATATCTGTGCTATTTGCAGAAAGCCCTATATTGCAAACCTGAAGCCATACTTTCTCATATTGTACAAAATAATGTGGATAAAACATCACTCAGCACATCTAAATGCACACTGATGATATGTAACCACCACGCGTATTGTCACACATCTGTTTTTCTCTTACTTTCAGAACGATACAGTCTATTGGCATGGCTGTGTGCTTTTTGTATTAATCTAAACAGGTAAAATCAAATAATGTATATTCTATTGCACATGCTGATATCATTTTATTTTCCCATTTCCTTTAGACAGTGATAATGAAAATTTATGTTTTGAAATTGAGAATTTCATTATCCAAAAAAAACCTCAATGCTGACATGCAGAACTATTCTAGCAGGAAAAGCATATCTGATCCAAGTCATCATCAATTGCTCTCTAATTATGATGACAGTACAAAAATGAAGCAAGCTTACCTTCACTCAGGAGACTCTTTTTTTGCTGTATCCCAGGCAGTTTCCTCTCCTTATTCACTTGAAAAGGGAAAATCCACTTGAATAAAGAAAAATAAATACTAGAAGAGTGAGGGATTTAAGGAGTCCTCATCTGAGTTCCTGATCCACTTGTTTCTAGCAAATTGCAAAAAACCTTGATCCAGTAGTAGCTCAGAGCGACTGTCCTCTCCTCGTGTGTTCTGTGGGCTGAGAATCTGCAAGAATAGACCTGAGACGGAGCTGCAACAGGGAGGCAGCGGGGGGACCTTGGCATGGAGTTGGACCAAACTCTAAATATAGCCCAACCCACTTTCCGTGCAGTTCTCTTCACACTCTGAAGGCAGGTGACCTTGTCAGAAAACTGACCTCCCAGCATGTCACTCTCTACAATGAGAGGATCTAACGGAACAGGATTGCGACGTAAAAGGACAGAAAAGCAATCAACCATATGCTTGCAGCAAATGAATGTAGGTATGAGCTCTATTTTTATGGCAGTTGCAACTGATCGAGTCATAATGTGCTTTATTTGATCATTTAGAGAAGTGAGCCGCATGCCAGTTCACAAAAGCCCTTTACAGATGAGAGATTGCATTGTAATTGCTAGTCTTAAATAGAGAGCACTGACATATATGAAAAGCCTGTCGTCTTTCCTCCTCTCAAAAACCTTAACGCAGCAGAGTGTGTAGTATTAGTATTAGTATTTCCCTAAAAGCTTGTGTCTATAAGAAATTATCCTTCCTTTCACTTGCTCTTACAGTAAGACTTTTTGGAAAAAGTGAGTTAAATCCACAAATATATATTCTGGTACCATATAAATCTGAGATGCTAGGGTAGCTTGAAAGGGCAGTAGAATCTGCAGTATCAGAGACCAAACTGCAGAGAAATGTGTAGTATATGCAGAGGAGGAAGCAAGAGAATAAGAGGCGTAGAAACATAACCCTTGTGCCTTAGATAGGGAACTGCTTTTCAACAGATGTTTTATAATCCAGGGAATTTGCCACTCTAACTCTGTGGCAACATGTCAGGGTATTTTGTTCTTAACCTGAAGGAGATTTTAACTTGGTATGAGTCAACCTGATACTCTGTCAAACAGGGACCTGATACTGCTATGTCATATGAAGGCTTCTGAATAAAAAAAGCTGCAGAAATCTGAGCAACTCAAAATGTCTTCTCTCACGTTCTGTCTTAAGACACGTAGGAGAGTTGGGATAGAAGCTTGTTTGCAGTATTGTTCTTCAGTAGGATATATTTGTTGGTGGTGACATATATCTAAGTGTATGCTACATTATATGCATGCACGCAATTTTCAATATCCAGAGAAAACCTGAGAAAACATCAGGACTTTGATAAGTGTACACTATAGACGTGTATGTCTGCAAAATATGCGTGAGCGATATCAGTGGTCAGTAAAGTGGCAGTGTGTATCTATGAACAATAATTTGGGCTGTTAGGTTTTTGCAAGTGTGCTATATATTTTTTCAATTGAAGCCTACTATTTTTGGCAAGTTCCACTGTGTAATTTTATCATGATCTATCGGCTTGAAGTCCGCAGGGTCAGCCAGACTCGTGTGTTACCTTCACAATAAGAACTACAGCTGTGAGGCACAGCTGCTTCCCAAGATAGTGGGAGAACAGTAGAAAATATGAATCTCCTGCAATATTAAGGGAGGCATCACATCTGGGACCATATTACATTCCTGGGCAAAACTTGCTCATAAGTCAGACCTAGGCTAGAGCCCATCCATTAAGTAGTTTTATGGATTTATCCAAGTTCCTCTTTCCTCCCAATTTTACCTATTTCTTCCCCATTAACAAGAATAAATGTTTGTTAGGAGTGGATATTATAACAAAGGAAGGATGCTGGTGTTTGACTTTGAATAGGGGACCTGAAAAAGGAATGAGTCTGCCTCCAGATAGACATATGTTGAGTGACATACTAGCACTGTGTAGGTAGTGAAATTCTAACTGTACAGGATACCAACATCATTAAACTCCAATAGCATTGTGCTATCTGTGCTCCAGGGTGGTACCCTGATGCGATCCAGACCAACCCTACCAATTCCAGCTCCGCAGCGCCGTTGCCACTTCTGCCCCTCTCTCCAGTGCTGGGATATTGAAATCGCCACAGATCCCCTCATTCAGAGAAGGAGATGAGGATAAGGGAGGAAATATGTACTCCTCCCCAGCATGAGTTAGTACTCTTCACCATCCACAGCGAACAGCTGGAGCAGCTTCCATACACGATAGTTCGGTAGTTCTTAGAAAAAGAAGGGATCACAGTGCTCGGTGGGTCCTAAAGCACAGGAACAGTCATACTTTGCCAGGAACTGTGACATGCACTTCTCCTATATGAATATTGTGGAGAAGGGGTGATTTCTTGCTTATACAAATAGTATGCTGGTTGGCTTTGAGGAGGGAGTATTAATCTTTGGGGAGGCTTTTATAGAGCCATGCTGTTTGTGTGTACAGGGCTGTAAATGTTGCCTGACCAACCCCAGCGATGCAAACTTCCTGAAAG